CCCTGCTCCACCAGCTGCTGGTTTCGCCCCTTGCCGGTCAGGCTGAAGAATTTGTTGTTAACAGACTTCCTAAAAGTTCAATTTTCTGTGTTCTGGCTGTGTTTTCTGTTGCTAATATTTAGTTGTCTCTAAACTTGGTTGTGTGAGAAGGCATGGCCTATCCACCTATGCCTCCATCTTGGCGGAAGTCCTGAACTTTTTTTAAGAACGATTCAAGTTCATGATGGTCAAGGAAAGGTATACAATCCCAGGGACCTAGATGGAAGTCTAGGAATAAAGGGAAAGGGCTGGAAAGTAAGTGAGGGCCATGTCCTGGGGCCCTTGGATACCAACGGTTGAATTATTGGTAATGGTAGTGAATTATTGGTAGTTCTCTGCTCTTAGGCTGAGGTTAACTTGAGAAATGAACGTATTGAGGTTAGAATGATGAGAGTAGGTGGAGCAAAAGGGCTGTTAGAACGCTGGTGCTGTTTTCTTATAGTCCTGATAATATTTAACAGCTATTTTAACAACAGAATGATGACAATGTGTGGTATTCTCTTTCCCTTGGGATAATGCGGCCACTGAAAAGGTCACAAGTAATAGAAAAAGCGAATTTTATTGCTTAATTGTGGATTCGGTTTGTTTGTGTTCTTTCTGCTTCATTTTTGAGTTGACTTGTTGACCAGGCCAGGTTTTTCTATTCAGAGTACAGATGTTTACAAAAAAAAAATGCTCTTCAATTCTTCTCCACTCTGAAAATATTTAATAACAACAACAAAAAGGCAAAATACATCCAAAAGAAAAGTATACCTAGTTTAGACTTGTTTTTGTATTATTTTAGTTTTGTTAAGAACTACTTTGGGCTGTATGCAATGATTAAATTTTTTCGTTGATTGATTTTAGTGATGAGAAAAAGGGAGAGAGAGAGAGAGAGAGAGAGAGAGAGAGAGAAAGAGATTGATTTGTCGTTCCACTTATTTATGCCTTCGTTGGCTAAATCTTGTATGTGCCCTGACCAGGGGTCAAACCCATAACCTTGGCATATCAGGGTGATGCTCTAGCCATCTGAGCTACCAGGCCAGGGCTATGTGATGGCTTAGGTCAGAGTTTCTCAACCTTGGCATGACTGACATTTTGAACTGGTTGGTTCTTATTGTGCAATGTAGAATGTTTAGCAGCATCCCTGGCCTCTACCCACTGGATGTTTGTAGCACCTTTATCCTCTAGTTGTGACAGCTGAAAATATTTCCTAACATTTCTCAAAGTCCCTGGTAGGAAATGGGGGTGAGGGAGGCAAAATTGCCCTAGATTGAGAATCGTTGGCTTACATAGAGTGTAATCATTTCATCAGAGACTAGCCACTTCCTCCTGCTGCATTGTGGATGGTTTTATTGAAGCTTGTGGAACCTGCAAAGCTTTTTACTGCCAGAAGAAAACCAACGAACATTTATAAATTCCCTTATTGAGAGTTTGTGTTAAAATATTCAAAGACAAAGGAAAAGCTACTTTATTGGTTGCCTAACCATTCATTTGCTAACCCTACTTACCAACTCTTTCGTTTAGCTCCTGGATTTGCTCACATTTAATTTTATAAGGGTAGTACTGGCTTTCCTCCTGGACCTTTAAGTCCTCAATGGAAAGGGTACTATAAATTTGGAAGTGTCCAAATAATACTGCCAGTTTAGACCTGGGTGTGAAAATGTGGCTTTCATGCAGAACCTAGATTCTAGTGTTAGTTTTATACCTAATGCCTTCTTACTTGGAGCAAGCTACTTTAATCTTTCTGTGCAAATTTTCTCCCCTACAAACTGAAGGAGATAGTTTATATTATCAATAAGTTTGCTGTTCTAAATATCTAAGATTGACCCCATGATCCACCCCCAATGCAGTGCAAACCAAAATGTGCTTTGCGTGTCCCCGATGACCTGCAGACCACGATGCTGGTCTCCCATGAGAGAAATGAGGAAATGGAGAGTAAACCATTAGAAATGCTTTTTACAATTCAACAGAGCAGTTCTATGTCTGTTACATAGAATAATAAAACATTAGGCTTATATTTTGTGCTAGTCTTTTACATTTAATTTTTCTAGTAATTCATTCTTATTATATTTTGTGGAAGTACTAGTTCACATTGGATTGGAAGAACAAAAAGGAAACAAATTGGTCTTTCACCAGAGGCAGTTTGAGAAGCACTGGCTCAATGTATAATGGAAAATTTTTCCTTGCCTCCCTTTCTACCCTGGCCTGTACAAGTTATTTAGTATATTACTCCTGTGGGGTTTAAATAAAAACAAAGACAAGATGTTGCTGGTCTGCAGTGTTAGTAGCATAAAGGTGGTGGCCAGTAGAATTTATTAGAAAGAAATCTGCCTTGTGGAAAACAAGAAGTGCTTCTGGAGTTTGATTGCATGTGTATGTGTCTTCACCTGGCTCATCTGAGTGACTGGCCTGAAGAACATGTTTTTCTTAGGATGTGAACCGAAGAGCAGTGAACAAATCCTTTTAAAAATTATTTTATTCCCTAGAATCCCTTTAGATATGATATCTGCCAGAAGGCTCGGCATACCAGAGTCTCCATCTCTAGCTGAGGCTGGGAGTGTGGGTACGCACAGGAGGAAAATGGGTGGGTTAGACTCACTGGAGAAATAACGACAAGTGTTTTTGAGTCTGTCCCGTCATTTGGACTCATCCAACATTCGGGAAAATCTATGACAGGGAGTCAGGTGTGGCAGGCTGACATGTGAACAGAGGTAGTTAAGCAATAAAGCACTTTACAACTTGACCTTGATCTTTACATGTAGAGGAGCTAGACTTCCCACTGACATTTACTGGAAGCAGAAAACACTGCTGGGCTCCCTGCACTGAGGACCGGTTGCCCCGGGGCCTGTTACCCTACCTGGAGTGGAGTCAGAGAGGCCTTTCCCTCCCCAGGGAGCCCTGTGCACAAGACCTGGCACGGGTGGGAAAAGTCTCTTGGCCTGCAGCCCCTTCTCTGTCCGTATGGGTTTTGTAGAGCCCTCCCTCCTCCACAGTACAAAGGCAAGAGCTTTGCCTGCCCTATTAGCAACATAGCATCACCCTTTCTTTCATTTTTTTTAATCCAGAGGATGAAAATATATAACATATTTGGAAACTCCACTGGTGGACTTGGCAGGTGTTTCATATTTACTTGGACTTAACATACATTGGATTTGGCCCTCTGATTTCCCCACCCCTCCCCCACCCTCCAGGACAAGCTATTTGTTATCCAAGTGCGTCTGTGCGAGTGGATCAGACATGTACGCGGCACATCTGCTATAAGTGCATTTGTTCAGGAAGATTTATGCCGGCCCAAACTGTTTTCTATTGGTTTTCATTGTTGAAAATTCACTGTGTGCTTTCTCGGTTTGGCGTAAGCATTTGTAGTGTACAGGGGTTCCTGTGGTTGAACATTTTATCACTGTAACACTTCACACAAAGGAAATTAAAAAATATATAGTGAAAGCATTTCCCTAATCTGTTTCCAATCTGCTGTGCACTTGAGTGGTTTGATTTGTAGGAACTAGAGAGAAGAGCTCTCTGCTAATCATTCAGAATGCCCTGGGAATTTGGACTGAGATTCCAAGCCCATGAAAATGTCTGTTGAAATTTTCTGATGTCCTTTGTTATTCTGTTTGTATTGTATATACTAAGAGAGTTTGCTGCTGCTGTTACCACAGCAGTATTTAAAAGGATTCAGGGAGGAGGTAAGTCTCCTCTGTATCTTGGACAAGCAAAAGCAACCTGTGCTGGGATTGATCAACTTGCCAGACATCAGCTGTTGGTCGGAGCGGCAGGTCCTTTTGTCTCTGCATTATCCCCTGTGTGTGCTCCTGCTTCTGCACTCTTTGGGCTGATTGGTCAGACGTTAACTCGTGAATCCCTTTGCCTGGCGACTCCCGATGATCTGATATGCAGCGCCAAGAGGCACAGCCAGGCGCACCATCCCCAGAAGGGGATTGTATGGGGTGGGGGCTGTTATTTGGATAAACTGAATCAGGATCTAGGCTGTGATCTTTGCACCATTATTTCTTTTCACTTATTTATTAAAATTTAAAAAAATCCTCACCTGAGGATATGTTTATTGATTTTTAGAGAGGGAGGAATGAGAGTGGAGGGGAGGGGAGAGAGAGAGAGAAACATCGATGGGTTGCCTCTTGCATGTGTCCCCACTGGGCATCAAACTCATGACCTTTTGGTGTACAGGGCTGATGCTCTAACCAGATGAGCCATCTGTCCAGGTCTGCACCTTTATTTCTTTGGCTCTTTCTACAGGGACTTAAGTGAACTGGCTTGTTGCCTTTTTAAGGATCTCTGGCCTTTGACTTCTATTGTTTCTAATGATTGAGCATGACTTCTGTTTTGGAATTAACACGTGATAATCTGTACATTGATAGTTTCAGATTTCCTTAATCTAGTTCATAGTCTGAAGGTAAAATGCTAGTCAAACATGAAATCATAGCTCTTAGAGCTGGGAGGCAGCTCTTTCATCTGGCGAAGATCGTAGCTTGTCAAGAGTCTTAGATAGGTGTAGGATTTTACAATCATTTCCTATATTTTAATGTTCTGCTTTTATTTCCTACCATGTTCTAAACTTTCCTCCTGACCTCTAGCAATTATGAGTCCATTGAGTCTTATGGAAGATCCCGTTTCCCCATGGTGTTTTAGCGCCCTCGCCCTCCTGTTTCACTAGGCAGAAGTAAAGTCGCGCATGAGGTTATGGGTTTTGGCCAAGAGAGCTTATCAACCCATGGTTTTTCTTTTGAAAATATGGTCTGTGTGGTTAACCTTCTCAGTAGTCAAAGAATTAATGTAAGTGAAAGTCAAGTGGGTATTTAAAAAGCTTAGTTATGTTTTGGGGAAAACAGCCAAGGAGTAGGATGGTCCCCATGATCACTGGTCCTGGTTTAGATGACGTAACTCCTTTTGCTCCAAAGAGAAAGGAAACAAACCCACACTCATCATTGGCCCGTCTTTCTGCTTCTGTGTTTCCCGTCTAGGTTGCACCTATGAAGGAAATACTTATAACAGCTCCTTCAAGTGGCAGAGTCCTGCAGAACCCTGTGTCCTGCGCCAGTGCCGGGTAAGAAAACACCGAAACCCAACTGTATTCTTGTACATGTTTATTGTGACATCCACTGAAGCAGAATAAGCACAGGAGAGAGACTGTATACAACTTGCTTTCAGAAACACACAGAATATTTCGCTATTGTTCAATTGTGCCTGAAAAAGCTTCGAGAAGATGTGTATGTCCTTGGGGAGAACTCAGCATCTTCCTCTGAATCAGCTGTGAGCAAAACACAAATTCCTTCCTGTTAGCAGAAAGAGGTATTGTGAGCAGATATATGTTTTCCTTCTTTGACTGAAAAACTTTTGAATTGGAGCCAATGTGTGCATCATATTAAATCAAAGCAACCCAATGATCGCACCCAACAAATGTAAGGACCACCGGGTCCGCTCCTAAGGAGCCCGCTGTGGCTGGTGCTCACTGAGCTCAGAAAAGAGGGGACTCCATGTGGCTCTGACGTTATGGGTTCTGAAGCACAGCAGGATTTTCAAGCTCCATTTTTGTTGCTTAAGAAGAGCTCTTTAAGAAGTGCATGTTGAATTTTGACAAAATTTAAAAATTCTTCTCTGAAGGGAAGATGCTGTGAAATCATTTTATTCCTAGCCCCATTTTACTGTCCAAGGATATGCTTTTGCATGTAAAAGAGAAAGAAAGATTAATATAATAATGTGTGTTTCTCTCTGAGCTTATCTCAAGTATACTTACATTAAGTTTTTTTAAATCTGAATTGTATCTGTTCACGTCCTTATGATATGCCCACAGTGGTCAGGTTCCCTTGTCAGATCTTCAGCGACTCACATAGTTAAATATTTGGCTTATATAGGTAGGAAATCTAAGTTGTTTGTGAAAATATGTAGGCTTTCATCTACATCTGTAAATGTAAATGAAAGATTAATGGAATAAACCAGTATTTGTAAATGAAAGATTAATGGAATAAACCAATATTTGTTGAATTTTTACTTTGGATTATAGGTTCAATCAGCTTTATGAAAATAAGAGACAAGCACAGTAAGTTATTTTTAAGCTAACATTTTTTGAAGACTTTATTTATTTAGAGAGAGAGCAAGATGAAGGGAGGGTGAGAGAGAGGGAGAAAAACATCCACGTTCAGGAGAAACATTAATTGGTTGCCTCTTGCCCCCAGCTGGAGACCTGGCCTGCAATCCAGGCATGTGCCCTGACCAGGAATCGAACTAGTGACCTTTTGGTTCACAGGCTGGCACTGAATCCACTGAACCATACCAGCCAGGGCAGCACAATGAGTTTTAAAGCATAAAAAGCCCCCATTTGTTCTAAAATTGTACCACCGCATTCCCACCCTGCTTTTTGACCTATGAAATGTCCACTCTTTGATAGGGGCATTCAGAAAGCCCCCATTACACACCTTTTAAACAAGACCAGTGCATGCCTTTTGGAGTATAGTGTGACATATTTACATAGCAGTCGGAGGTCTTGAAGATCCTTAGGTTGCACTGACCAGTGGTGAACTTGGATGAAGCCTTTGTTTCAATTACATGAAAACTATTATCTGGGGGAGAACATTTTGTGGACTGAAAAACATATTAAACCATCCACTAGCACCAAAACTCCTGTTGCCAGTCATATGAGTCACTGGCCACTCAGCAGGGCCCAGAGAAAATGATGTGGAAACATCAAATCATTATCAGAAGAGATCCTAAAGACCATCAGCCCTGGGAGTCAGGAAATGCTGACCTGCAAAATGCAGCACAGACAGGAAACACTACCTTCCTGGGATGAACTTGGCCTTTTAATGTTCTTCCTTTAAAAAAATTTGGCCTAAGCCCTGCTCAAAAGCAAAACCTACATTAAGGTAGGTACCAAAATCTGCTGCTCGGCTCAGCTGGTGCCTTCCCACTACTGCGCCTTCTTCCTTCTTCCAGGGGAGACCTGGTCCGTGACAGTTTACTGGCACCTGTCAGGGATGGCCTCATTGATGATGCTCCTATGCAGAACCACCCAGTTGCAGCCTCTCCCAGCTCTTGTCTTCACAGGGCACAGATTCGGTAACAGAGGAGAGGGTGCAGCGTGTTAAGGAAAATATGGGCTCTGCTACTCCTGGAACTTGTGACTGAGCCTCTGTGGACCTAATGAGGACAGGAGTGCATCACAGGGTGCTTGTGAGCAACGAGGAGGCTGATATGGAAGACACTTCTGGTAGCCCCTGTGTGTCCTGGGTCCAACTGGGTGCCAGGCAGGTAACAGGTGGCTTAATGACCTGGCCTATTTCCACTTGAGTTGAATTTCTTATATCCTCTCACCTCTGAAAAGACTCTGAAGATAAAAGAAAGGCAGTTCATGCTGGGATCTACCCTGAATCCTCCATGTGGATGGCAGATAAAGCGAAATTGATCTGGAGCTGTAACATTTTGCATTGTCTTGACCATTCCACTAAAGCACCTATCCTTTTTTGATGCTGCATGTCATGGTGTCCTGCGGTCCTTTTTTCTCCCCCAGTGTGACGTAGACCATAGTATGCTCCACTGGAAGTAGAAACCTCGGGCCTCACAGACATGAAGACATTCAGGATATAACCTTCTCTGTTGGACTGAGATGATGTAGGAGCAGACACAATGAAGAAGATTATGTAGTCATCCAGTCGTTACATGATTTTTAGCCTGTGCTACACCTCTCCTCAAAACAGACTGACCGCACAAACACACAAATTCATCTATAAAACAGATGGAGAAAACAGTAGAAATTCTTCAAAAACCAACTCTGAAAATTAATCTAAAAAATGTTTTGACTGACATTAAATTAAATTATTAGAGTTCCAAGATCAGTTTGCAAAGGAGTCATTTGATTTCATTATGAAGACCTGCAGTCTCTATTTTGATGCAAATATTATAACTTTAAAATAGTTCCAGTCAATGTCTTCAGTCGATGCTGGAGAGCCAGGCTCCATGGGAGGCAGAGTCCAAATTCCAAGATTGTGGAGCTGGTCCCATTATTTCCAGAAGGTTGGTGAGGGTTTAGGCCTCCAGATGCCAGTCTGGGATATGAGGCTTATACTCTTTGCCTCATAGTTAAATATAATAACAATTATAGAAAATACAGTAAGGGTTGAACACTTCAAACCATTGTGAATGGGCAGTGAGGCTCTCTCAGCTACTGACTCACAGCAAGGTCTCAAACACTAGATTAAACAGAAAGAAAGAAATTGGGACCAAAGAGAAAGACCCAGGACAGGGTGATGAGCAGCAACAGATTCAGCCCTCCGAGTTCAAAAGCATCAGAGGGCTGAGCCAGGGACACCTGATCTCACTGGGGTGGGAATCAAACTGAACCTCTGAACCTGACACAAACCCTCTCCTGGCATGTTTTGTGTTGGGACTCTTCTCCAGTTTCCTTGGTTACTTTCCAAAAGTACATCACTCCTCAGGGGGAGTTCTGGGCTGATCGCCTGTGATGTCCTGTTTTCCAGGAAGGTGTTGTCACCGAGTCTGAGGTGCGATGTGTCGTCCACTGCAAAAACCCTTCTGAGCACCTGGGAGCCTGCTGTCCCACGTGTCCAGGTAAACCACTCGGGAGGGGGAGGTTGCAGCACTCCCCGGAACAGCGCCATGCTGTTGAAACCTCTGAGTTTTCCAAGAACGCCTGCTTTTCCCTCTTCCTGCCTGGGATTTTTCTCACTTTATGTCTGAGTACCTGGTAGGTTCAGAGAGCAAACTTCTTTGCAGAGAAACGTCCGCTTGGACATTTCTGGTGAGTGTCCATTTCTTGGACTCTCTGGTGAGCCCGGGATGAGTGCGCCATGCTGTAGGTCTTGGCATGTGGCTGCTTGGGGCTTGGGAGGCCCGCTTTCCACCCCGGGGGCCACAGCAAACGCTTATTTTGGAAGGAAAGCCTGTGGCTTTTCCTTGCTACCAGAAATGGCTTTTCAATGCTTCAGTTTGCAATTCGCTGGCCAGAGCTGGCCTTGGTGATGAGGTAACCAGATGTTTTCTGAACACTGAGAGCCGGGGCCCTCCGTGAAGTCAGCTGAGGGTTTTTTTGCTGGTCTCAGTTTTCACTGCGGTGCAGCAAATTGGACCACTGTCTTTCTGAGGGCCCTGCTGCCCGGCGGACAGTGGAGGGTCTTCCCCTTCCAGGGGCTGGAGGGTTTCCTTCTGCTTCCCCGAACAGGATTCCAAAGGTCTCCTGCATCTTTTTTTGCCCTTAGGTACAAGCCGGGGGGATTCTGAGGTGAGAGATTTTTTTGTGATCCCTTAAGCCCCTGGCCCATACTCATAGACAGATGTTCTGCATTTTGGGCTTTCTGCTGAGCATTTTTCCTGATAGGAGGCCATCCTTACAACTCCTCCTTGCTTTTGAGGTTAATCTGCCCAGAGCCTCCTGCTCTGCAGACCTCCTCGGGTGGGACAGCGCTAAGGCACTGGTGGGGGTGGTGGGGAGGCTCTGCCATTCTCCTCCATGCCGCCTGAAATGCATGTACACCTGAGTCCCTTCTGGGGTCTAGTCTTTTCTCATCTTTGAGTGACAGGAGGGAAACTCCCTCTCCACTAGCTCTGACCTTCCTAAGTTCCCTGCACGGTCTTTATTGAGCCAAACTTCTCTTTCACAGTGGGATTTCTGAGAAGTATTATTGGATGATCTCACATGAAGACCAAAAATGGGTTGATAATTTTTTCCGTAATTCAGTTATTTTGTATCTACCAAACAGAGTTTGCCTGAGTACCTTTTTCTTCTGAATGCACTAAATAGCTTTGTATCACGTAATCACACTCTTCAGTGTCTGAAAGATCTTTATGAAGTTTGATCACTAGTTTTCTAGGCTGCCTGGTAACATCACCTGGGAAGCTTTAAAACAATAAACATGGCTGCCTCTGGCTGCATTGCAGACCAGTTCCAACAAATTCTCTGACTTTCATGGACCCAGGCCTCCCAGATAGGTCCAGGCCTGAGATTGATAACAGAGCAAATGTTTTATGCCATGCAGATTTAAAAATTATCATAGATCTTACGTATGAATTCAGTTGCGTTGAGTAGACCATTGCTTTATTGATACAGACTCAACTCAGCATATGTAACATCTCTCCTCAGGCGGGAGATAGTCGTATTTTTTGGCTGCCTTTGGAAGTGTGGGTCTACAGACATGAGAGTGAATTTATTGCAGCTGATGAAGTCATCATATTTGAGCAACTGACTCCTCCATTCTGTTTTTGGTTGAGCTCCCAAGAATGAAAGGCTGAGCGCCATGACTGTGCGTCCTGCGCTTTTGGGTGCTCATGACCTTATAGGGAGGGAGGGGGCGCTGTCTGTACTTAACAGAGGAAGGAATTGGACCCATGAGTGAGGGGCCCATTAGTGGGTAAAGGCCAAGGGTGGGGTGGGGCTAGACATAGCTACCATGTTGTACTGCCTCTCACCACCCGCACGCCATGATGATTGTTCTTCTTGGTTCCAGGAGCCTCGAGAGGCAGATGTTTACAATTAGCATGCAGGGACACACACTAGGCCCTGACACCCGGGCAGGCTCTCTGCCCTTGGTTATGGAGTCAAGAATCAACTTTGCTCCTTCTCCTTAATTTCAAAGGCCAGCCTTGGGGATGCAAATCAGCAGACTCAGAAGAGGCCACATCTAGAATGCTTTATCTTTTGTCTTGGGAGGCTGAACACAGCCATGTCCAGATAGGGACAGTCAGGGGAAGTCTTGGGATATTGCCCTTGGTATTCAGAAGGACTGGCCTCAGTCATTGATTGTGGAATGGTATTCCACATAATGGCCAATAAGTACCGTCTGTGGTCAGATTCTTCCTGAGACAGATGTGAGGTCATGCTTGGTTGTCTCTCCTTCCTTTTCTTTGGACTCTTGGCTCAAGTATGGTGGGTCCAGAGGGGAAGAGTCCACAGTTTGCATGGCATGTTCATGTAAAATTCCCTGTTTAAGTTGCCAAACATAGATTGTTGTGGTTCATCATCTGGCCACCTGGATGACAGAACCAGTGGTGCGAACATATGTGAATGAAAGAATTGAAGACCCTTTGTTGGCAGTGTCCTTTGAAAAGAGGTGACTAGATGGGTACCTGCCACTGTGCACAATGCTGAGCTAGAGCCACTGGCAGGGATGCAGGTTTGTCAGGTCTGCACACATCAGTAGGGACCGCAAGGAGGTGGTGGGTGGATGGGTGTGGGCATCAAAAAGACTTTAAAACCAGTTTCACTCAGCTATTCAACTTTGGACTTGGTGCCATTTGTCTCCATGTCTTTCAGCTGAACAGAGGGTTCTATATCTGACTTCAAAGTGAACGGGACCAGCAGCCCATTCCAGGGGGGAGGGTAACACTTGTTTCTCCTTGGAAGGAACCAACTGCTTCAAGAGTTTGGTGGGTTCTGTTGATGAGTTCAGTTGGTGGGCTTCGAATAACTACTCCCAGGGACACAAGTTCATCTTTTTTTAAAAAATATTTTATTTATTTATCTTTAGAGAGGAAGAGAAGGAGAGAAATATCAATGTATGGTTGCCTCTCATGAGTCTCCTGTTGGAAACTGGCCTGCAACCTAGGCATGTGCCCTGACTGGGAATTGAACCGTGATCGTGTGGTTCGCAGGCCCGCGCTCAATCCACTGAGCTACACCAGCCAGGGCACAAGTTCATCTTTTGCAAGAGTCCCCTTTGCTGCATTTTGGCCATTGGTACTGTCACCCCCAGCCCTGTCCACTGTGTGGAGAGGACCCTCAGCTGTTCTGGGAAAGTGCCTCCAGAGGACAGACCTAAGGAAAGTTGCTTTGCCATTAGCTGGTCCTCTCCACATTAGATGGACATTAGATCATTAGATGGTCCTCTCATGGCCTTTCCTGTGCAACATGGGCTTACTGGCCAGTCTGTACTTTAGGTCACTTTTGAGATCTGTTAAGAATATAACTTTTTTCATGTCCTGAGCATCTTTCTGAATTGGAGACACCTCCCAGGCTTTTCATCCTATTTTTAGCCAGACTTGGTGGGGGTCACAGCCCCTTTAACAGGACATAAGGTAAGACTGAAGACCTGTGTGGTATCTCCTGACCTGCCTTTGCCTCTAGCCTTGGTGCCTCACCCTCTGTATGTTGTGGCCAGTGGGTCAGAACTGAGTTCAAATCCCAGCTCTTCTACCTGCCAGCTGGCTGAGCTACTTCTCTCTCTGAGCCATGTCTTCCTTATCAGTGAGAACAATGACAAGAGCCCCTACTTTGCAGGCTCACTTTGAAGATGGAGTGTGATGGGGGTACAGAGGGCCCGGGGGAGGCTGGGCAACCCCTGGGCGCTCACCCAGGGGCAGCTCTTTGTGTCCTTTTGTTCCTTATCTCATCAGGGACTTCTCTCGCTGGGACTTCCTCCGTCTGCCTCCCCTGGCCTCTCTGGGCTTTGGTTCCCTGGCCGTGGTCAGTGAGGTCACGGTGAGACCCACCCACAGGCTCTGCTGGGCTCACCGCTGTGCCCGGATCCCCCAGGCTGACCCGCTTCCAGGCTCTTACGTGTTTTCTAGCACCTTTGGCTTTCTGGGCCCGTGTCAGTGCTTTGTATTCTTTGGGATTTTTTTGTTTATTTGTTTGTTTTTTACTGTGAAGCAGTATTGTCCTCTAGTTAAAGGGGCCCCTCTGCTAGGTGAGGTGGAGGTGGGAAATGGATGAACAGTGGATGGAGGAATCGCGTCAACCCAAACAAAGGCTGTTGCCCTCATTCTGAACCCTTCTTTGCTTTCCAGGCTGTGTGTTTGAGGGTGTACAGTACCGAGAAGGGGAGGACTTTCAGCCAGAAGGAGACAAGTGCACCAAGTGTTCCTGCGTTGTAAGTACTGCCCTGGGCGTTCCCAGGATTTTCCTTCTGGTTCATTGCAGCTGGGACTTCCCAGGAGTGGCCCTGACTCTCCCTACAGTCTCTCCTTCTCTCCCTCCTGACATGGAACCAAGGGTCAAGCTCGTTTCTCTGCGGCAGGTTTTTCAGGCTTGGTACTGTTGGCATTCTGGCTGGGTAGGTCTTGGTGGTGACGGCTGTCTTTCACAGTGCAGGATGTTAGGCAGCCTCCTTGGCTGCTACCCATTAGATTTAGTATCACCCAGCCCTTTAGGGTGACAACCCAAAATGTCTGCAGACATTGCCACATGTGCCCTGGAGAACAAGGGCACTCCTGATTGAGAACCACTGGTCTAAAGAATGAAGGGAAGAGACTGATTTTCCTCCACTTGTCATCCTCTTGGGGAAGACAAGATTTCTCTGCTCTTTGGGCAATGAAGCTTCTTGCTGAGGTAACTGTCGTGTTCTTGAGTGGAGTCAGATGGGAAGCAGATGGGGTCAAGTGCAGCTTGCCTCAGTATATCCTGTGGGGTGACAGAACCTGGTCAGATCAGTCAGTTACACTGGGGGGAACATACAGGAGGAAGAGGCCCCTAAGCTGTGGATCCAGGGCAGAGTAGAGATTAGTGAGACAGAGCCACAGACTTCCTGTGCAAGCATCGTTGATGTTTAATTCATGTACCAAGGATACCTTCCGAGTGCTTCATAGTGAAACAGGAACTTGGCTATGTTGTGACATTAAGGGGATCTTTTTTATGTATGTATTTTAAATTTAGAATAAAATATGGGTGACGATGGTGGTCATGGTGATGACGGGGAACCCAGTCTTAAGCAGCCGTTCCAAGTTATTTACACCATATATTTTTAAAGCATTTAGTCTTTTGTAATAAAGAACATGCAGTGTGCACCTCAGAATATTAAAAAATAATGGGAGACTCTAGCGTCGTAATTTCACCAAAGTAGAATCATATGTGGATTGTCATAAATCATATCATTTGTCATTTCTCTACACATGTCTTTTCAAAAGCTCTCCCCTTCCTACGGCACACAGCTTAGAGAGCCAAGAGTAAAGGAAACGTGGCCAAGGGTGAGGGGGTTTGTATGAGGAGGGGGGAGGGAAAGAAAGGAGGGAGGGGAGACAGAGAAGAAGCAGATATATATAACATATGTATATGAGGTATATAATATATACCAGATTGTAATAATATATAAAAACACAGAGGTAATTTACTAATGAAGATGAACGTGATTTTGCATATTCAGCTTCAATTTTCAAGTATTTCCTCTCGTTAATTATGGTTAAATAGCTTTGTGTTATATTTTATGTAAATAATTTCTGTTTGCCATTAAGTATTGCTCATTGCTTAATTTTACATCTTTCATATTGATTGTTGTCTGGTTTTCTGGTAATTTTTTTATACCTCTCATTCTTTTGGGTAGATTGAGGATAAAGAAGGCACAGCTAAGCAGGAAATTTTAAATCTGCACCTGAACAAACTGTCTGTCCTGGAAAGGGGTGCCAAGGCCGGGCAGGTGAGCCTCCGTGGGGAGGCCGTTTAGGAGGCAGAAAGGAGACAGAAGGTCCCGTAGGTTTTGTAATGACAGTCATGCCAAGTCACCCAGTGGTGGGACCAGAAATGACTTTAGAGCTTATACAAGCTGGGGTCACAAATTCCAGTGCATTCAAGCCTTTCGGAATGCATGTGTTTCTAAATACAATGCATGTTTAACAAAACACACCTGAGGGCCAAGGTCAGGGCCCTGGAAGTTCTGCTTTCATTTCTGGTTGAAGGAATAAAAATCCAAAGCAATTTGTTGCCCAAGTTTTCCTACTTAGTGAGTTCTCTCCAGACCCATATTCTCTCTGACTTTCTATATCCCCATATCTAATTTTTTATTTATTTCTATTCTTAATCCTGTGTTCTTTCTGGTTCTCTATGTTGCCGCCTTCAGCACCTCAGGGGCAGCTCATGGCTTTGATTGTGTTCCCAATGCTTGTGTTTGCACTTACAGGGTGAGGGAGGAGGGGATGGAGCGCAGGCTTGGAGGCAGGTCATTTGCGGGTGAGCTTGGGAATGGGGAGGGCCAGCAGGGCAGGTTTGGTTTTGGAAAATACAGAAATTTGAGGTGTAAGCTGTCTTTTTTTGGCAGGCTGTCATTAAAATAACCTGCTTTTTAATATTCTTTCATTTTGCCATCTGTTGATTTAGTGCCCCTCCTTTGGAAAGATGTCTTGGCAGTAAATGCCCCATCTTGGGAGTGGTCACTGTGTAGAGGTTTGTTTTAGAAGCTCGTAGGGCAGGTGTGTGGCCTGTCCTGGCCCTGTGAGGTCCGTGATTGGACGGTGCTGGCTGTAGTAGCCTTGGAAGCGTTCATGTGAAAGGTGAGCAGGGAGTGCGGAGCCACCTCACGGAGTGAGAGGGTCAAGCTGGACAAGACTTTGGACAGCACCGGTGTGAGGCCCAGTGCTTCACCCAGGAGGTTTCAGGGAGGGGCCTCAGCTGCAGGTTTCCCTGTGAAAACAGGAGTCTATAGAAAATCTGCTGTACTTTGATAAGAAGAAAAGCAACAAGTTCTGTGTAGAGAGATATGAACACACTTATGCCTTTTGGTATGTGTGGTATTTGTGTGCATGCCTATTTGTATGTGTGTACATCTATATCTATGACTGTATATATGCACACACACACAAATCTATGTAAATAAGCCTATAAATATAAATGCAAACACACACATTTACTCCAGCAACAGACCCCAAGATGAGTGTTTGCGTGTCCCCAGTTTTGTGGGAGATGGAGAAGACTGTGGCTGAGGAGTGTGGACAGGAGACAAGGTGGGGAGGCAGTCACTTAAGGCTGAGTCACCAGGCGAGTGTCACTGTGTATGACCAGAGCTCACTCCTGCTGGACAAATTCTGGAAGCTGGTGTGAGGCCTGAGAATCTCCCACCTGAGGGGTGAAAGATGCGACCTGGTTACACCAACTCCTGTCTGCTCCAGGGGTTGGCTAGGCACCATTCTGAGCCTGTCACTGTGGTGGCTACATGGCCTCCAGCAGCAAGAGGAAGAAACACAGGTGCCAGCACTTGAGAGGGAGGGGGAAGGGTGTGGGCAGGGCAGCACCAGTCAATGACGGCAGCTCCGAGTGTGCACGTGTAGGTGAATATGCACACAAACACATGTGCATTCACATTGTTAGGGCTCTGAATATGTGCATGGACATGCACATGCATGTTCACATTCATGCACACACTTTTGGAACACTGGACCACTAGCTCTTTCCAAAACCCATTAATTTTTCTTTTTTTATTGTTTTATTTTTAAAATATACTTTAAAATTACAGCTTATGTTCAGTATTATTCTGTATTAGTTTCCAGTGTACAGGGTAGTGGTTTGACAGTTATGTATTTACAGAGTGCTCCCCCAGATCTTCCCAGTACCCACCTGGCACCACACATAGTTACTGCAGCGTCGTTGACCGTGTTCCCTGTGCTGGACTTCACATCCCCATGACTACTGTGTAACTGCCCATCTGCGCTTCTCGGGCCCTTCACCTCTTTCACCCAGACTTCCAAACGCCCTCCCTCTGGCAACCACAGTCTGTTCTCTGTATCTGTGAGTCTGTTTCCCTTTTGTTTGTTAATTTTGTTTTTTATATTCCACATAGGAGTGAAACCATATGTACTTGTCTTCCTCTAACTAGCTTGTTTCACTGAGCATAATACTCTCCAGGGCCATCCATATTGTCACAAAAGGTAAGGTTTCCTTCTTCTTTTATGGCTGAGTAGCATCCCACTGTGTAAATGTGCCCCATCTTCTTTATCCACTCATCTATGATGGGCACTTGGGCTACTTCCATCTCTTAACTATTGTAAACAACGCTGCAATGAACATAGAGGTGCATATATTCTTTCGGATCAGTGGTCTGAGTTTCCATTTCTGGGTCTGGCTCAGAATAAACCCATCGCTCTTTCTTTGGCCTCCAGTCTCTTCCTCCTGCTGCTGCCCTGCCTGGAAGCCTCTCTTCTCCTGGTCACATCTACCCGACTTGTGACACAGGGCACTAATAACCACGATGGTCTTCTCTTCCAAACTGTGACATTCTGCTCTTTAAGGATGACCTGCCCCTTCTTGCCAGGGAAGAATGGGTATTGTTTGCTAGGCATTGCACTCTCATTACATCCCTCTCCACCTTGGAGCACCCTCTCTGGGGCCATGCAAGCATGAAGCATCCCTTGTGTATGTCACCGTCTCTGATGAATGAGTTCCCTGCTCCTCGAGCTGTCCCCCAACTTGCCCATAAACACTGTATAGGGCAGGTGGCTTGCATTTCACATCCAACCCCCCCCCTTAGTTTCACTCTCCCTGTGTTTGTGTTGTGGTGACAGAGGCAGACAACTAGGAAGACACTGCATCCCACTGAGCTGGATCCCTTAGATAGGGAAACAAAGGCCTGGCCCATATTCTCCATCCCCAGTTCAGGGTGGGACAGTCCCTACGGCATTCCAGATGGCTGAAAACGTGCCAGCGCTGGGAGATATCTGGAGAGGATTTTACAGTTAAAAATCCACTCATTGTTAAGTGTGAACATCATCTGGACTCATGTAAAAAACGCTTTACTATGACTGGTTGAACTATCTCCCCCATTTACTCATTGTGTGGGTGGGAGAGCCACGGGAGCGGTTTCTCCCGAGTCTCAGTACTGAATGGGGGCGGCAGGGGTTGGAGGGTGGGAACCTGAGTTCCTCCAGCTTGTGTTGTCCTGTCCAGGCCACAGTGGAGTGTGCTCCCCCTGGCATGTGTTCAGTCTGAGTAAGTCCTGTGTTCATTTTAAGAGGGAGAGCAATGGCTCTTCCCAAAGGCAGGTGGAAGGGAGAGTTTATCAGGTATCTCAGGTGCTGGGTAGGGCACATGTTCAGCTTGAGCTGTCATTGCCTGCCTAACTAAACAGCAAGCAGCCCCTTAGGCCTTTCTCAGCCCGAGTCTCAGAGACAG